TGGATTATGTCTTATGTTGACTAACCCTTATGATATTATGTTAGCTAACATTTTTAGTACATTTTGTACTAACGCATACTTTGCCTACATTCTCATCAAATGTAGGGTTCGGAGATTCGAGTTCAAATCTTGAAGCTAGGTTTCTATGAAGCAAAGGAGTTGAAGATTTTTGTGAGTTCTCATAGCTTCAAGGACAAAACCCACTAGTTCCTTTATGTATTTTATTTTCATTCTGAGACTATTGTATTGGATTTGTCCCAAGATTTTTATTCTAAATTTGTATTAGATGATTTGAGACAAAAGTGTAGGAAAAGACTTCCGCTTGCTTATATGAAAAGACTTCGATTGTATGGATAAAAGTTTTTTAAAAAGTTTTGTACTTTGCTATTATCTTATGTTATGAATTCTTAGGGCTTGTATGAGTCCCCTTAGGGGTAAAGTACGCCGTGTTACATCTAGGGTGTACCCCTGGGTCGTGACAACTTTCTTTGTGAGAATATATTTCTTACATTCACAAACTGAAAAAAATCAAATTCTAGAAATTCCAACTACTAATCTTTGTATAGCTATCTCACAACAAGACATAAATTGCACTTTCAAGTCATTTATATCCAGTTAACTTGTTGTAAAGAAATAATTTTCAGTTGTTGAAATTTGTCTCAACTTAATTCGTAAATATCTGGGGGTACTTCTTCATCATTTCCTCCTTAGCTTCCCAAGTCATTTTGTCGACGTTTTTATTTCACCATAATACTTTTAGGGAAGCTACTTCTTTAGTTTGAAGCTTTCTTACTTGTCAATCCAAAATAGCCAGTGGTACCTCTGCATAAAACAAATCTTCAGCAATGTGAATATTCTGAATGTGCGCAATACGCGAAGGATCTCTAATGCAGTTCTACAACATATATACATGAAACACATGATGGGCTACTTCCAATTTTAAAGGAAAATCAAGTTTGTATGCCACCCTATCGATCTTCCAAATAATCTTATATGGATTAACATACCTAGGACTGAGCTTCCCTTTTTTATTTTCTGAAACGCATGACACCCTCCATAAGGAATACTTTCAGGAAAACCCAATCTGCTACATCAATCTCTTAGTCTCGTCGTCAAATATATGCATAAGACTTCTGCTGACTTTGTGTTGTATGCAACCGATTTCTAATAAGCTTTACCTTTTCAATCACTTATTTGACTAGATTGGGACCTAGCAACTCTGCTTCCCCGACCTTGAACCAACCAATCGACGACCTACACTTCTGCTCATACAGTGCTTCGTAAGGAGAGATCTAAATACTAGCTTGGAAGTTATTATTATAAGCAAACCTAATAAGAGGTAGATGTTCATACCAGCTTTCTTTAAAATCTAGTACGCATGCACGTAACATATCCTTAACAATTTGAATAGTACACTCTGCTTGTCCATCAGTTTGGGGATGAAAAAATGGTGCTAGTTTTTACCTGAGTGCCTAGACCCCTTCTGAAAAGATCTCCAAAATATGAAGTAAACTGAGCCCCTCGATCAGAGATAATAGATAATGGAACTCCATAAAGGCAAACAATCTCCTGAATGTAAAGCCTAGCATAATCGTTGGCTGAATATGTCAACCTAACTGGCAAGAAATGAGCAGATTTTGTCAACCTATCTGTTATTACCCATATAGAATCATACCTCCATGGAGTGCGAGGAAAAGTAGTGATTAAGTCCACATTTATCATGTCCCATTTCCATAACGGAAGTGTAATATACTGAGTTTGCCTCAAGGCCTTTAATATTCTGGTTTAACTTGCTGACAGTTAGGAAATTCATCTACCATTTCCGCAATATATTTTTACATGTCATTCCACCAATCGATATGTCGAAGGTCCGGATACATCTTTGTCGCTCTAAGTTTAGCTGCATATCTAGAACAATGGGCCTCAAAAAGAATCTTTGCATCAAGCTCTCCAACTTTTAGTACACATAAGCTACTCTATTATCTAAGGACTCCATCTTTAGTTAGCTCAAATAAAGGTTTGTGATATTGTGGAATTTGTTTCTTAGTTTTATAAGCTTTGGATCTTCATGTTGCCGCTTTTCACTTTAGTAACAAAGGAAGATTCTTTTGTATTCTGAATGACAACACCTCTACCCTCTTCATCTACCAAGTGTACCTACAAACTAGCTAGCTGGGATGGGTCTTTTATAATTTCAACCTTATAAGCTTCAACATGACTTAGACTACCCATGGACATCCTATTGAACGCATCAGCAACAATATTAGCTTTGTTGGGATTTTATAAAATGTCAACATCATAGTTCTTTAGTAATTCTAGCCATCTCCTTTTTCATAGGTTCCACTCATTCTGCTTAAATAAATACTGAAGGCTCTGGTGATTGGTAAAAATATCAATATGAACCCCGTATAGATAATGCCGGCAAATCTTTAGGGCATAGATAACTGCAGCCAACTCAAGATCGTGAGTAGGATAGTGTTGCTCATGTTTTCGCAACTGTCTATAGGACTCTGCGCTAACCTTGCCATACTAGGACAATTCTTAAAGTATCATAATATACAACATAACCCTTAGTGCCATCTAAAAGAGTCAACATAAGTGTTGTGGTAAGACTTTTCTTTAGCTCCTGAGAACTCTGTTCACATGCCTCAGTAAAACTTAGTTGCCGTATGTGTCAATTTATTCAGTAATGAAAAGATAGAGGAGAATCCCTCCACAAACCTTCCATAATACCTTTCCAAGCCTAAAAAATTGTGAAATTCTATTAGATTCAAGGGCCTCACCCAAGTCATCACTTCTTCAATCTCTTGTCCATCAAGCTTGATACAATCACTGTTAATAACATGACCAAGAAAATCTACAGAAGTTAGCTAAAATTCACATTTAGAGAATTTAACACATGACATGTAATCTTGGAGAAACTGCAATACAACTCGCAAGTAGTTTGCATGCCCGACTTCTGACCATGAATATATCAGGATTTTGTCAATAAAAATAATCACAAATTCATCCAAGCACTACAAAAAAAATAGCATTTAGCGACTGACGAAAT